TGGGCTTATAATTTCACCTTACATACCCTTATAATCACACATTGAAGTCAAGAGAATAAAGGAAATCATGTTCACCACATAAAAAAGATATTGTTAAACAATTTTCAGTTAAAATCCAAAGAGATTACATAATTATTTTATCACATTCTTTTTTGCAGCTATGATCGTGTACCGAGTGTTTCGCCATGAGAACAAACTCCTCATCAAGCTTGTTCACTTTGGTCTCCAGCTGGTAGCCTTTGTAATTGCTGTTTTGGGTCTAAAGGCTGTGTTTGACTTTCATAACCATAAAGGAATTCCTAATCTGTACAGCCTTCACAGCTGGTGTGGATTGTTAACCATAATTCTATTCTCCTGTCAGGTTAGTTAGGGATGTGCATGTCATGAAGTGTTTCTACACTCAAAATTTTATTATATTTTTAATTGTTTATCAAGCAAGTTGTTATTTTGCTACCACTAAAGTAGATGTAAAGCATGCAACAGAAAGTGCCGCAGCATAGAATAGTCAAATTAGTTCTGTTCTTAGTGATTCACTGTATTTAATCAGGTATTGCCAGGGTATTAAGCACCTTCGCTCTGACGAAGGGCTAACGCTCGAAACGTCAGCTTTTATAATCATAATGGTGGCCAATTTACCATTTCAACTTTGTTGATATATTCAAATTATTAAGCACCTAGGCCTGGGGGTATAGTAATCAGCATGATTGTCAAGTAAACGCCCGTTTGATAGAAGATTGTTGCCCTTAAATTGTACACAGAATTTATGCAGGCCCAAAGTTGAAATTCACTAGTTGCAGAGATATATATTCCCTGCATTTTTGAGCGGAAACTGTGCTTCAATTGACAAAAAGCTATAATCTCTTCAGATAGATGGAACAACATTTGATGCATTAGCTATAGTCAAAAGATTAGTTTATTAAGCATGTACCACAGCACATGTTAATTTTTTTTGTATTAAATCTAATATGTATTTTGCTAGTGAAAATTAATGTTTTTTATGTTTATAAGATAAGTGGGGAAAATAAGGTTATTTTAAGCTTTTTACTGAGATTTTGAAAGCAGTTCCACAAAGTCATTTTTTTACAACTGGTCAATTTTTCTTGCACCCAGGTTATTTTAATGGCACCCCTGGACATAACAAATTAAACCTGGTAGACTGCTGAGCAGAATTATCAGTGACTGAGTAATTTTTTTCTTCAGTCTTGATGTTGTTAGCTTGACTGAATTTTTCATACCTTCTTTGCTTTCTCCCCAGCTTCTCTTTGGATTTGTTAGCTTTCTTTTCCCCAAGCTCCCCGAGGGTCTTCGTGCCGTATATCTCAAAGTACATGTGTTCTTTGGTGTGTTTATTTTCATGATGGCCATTGGGACTGCACTCTTGGGAATCAATGAGAAGCTTTTTTTCACCAAAAAGTGAGTGAGTTGTGGACTGGTCATTCAACCTCTTTAACTATATACCAAGAGGGATCAACACAAAATTTCCCCTTACAATATCAATACAATATCAAACAGACAAGTGGCGACATTAAAGAAAAAGTGTCAATGAAGGTGATTTTTAGTTGATCCAATAGCAAACATCAGAAGAATTGTATGGCAGACAATTCCTCGCAGACTTGGACATTTTACTTGTCTCACATTTTTTTTTTGCAAATCCTCTGACGTCATTCTGCGTTGAGAGTACAGAAAGACCAACCAGTAGTTTAAAGTCCTCACAATATTCTTAGTGGAACATGTGTAACATATATGCTGTAGAGCTTAATATATAGAGCTTACATGTAGTGCTATACATAAAGGTAGATCAGAGGGAAAGGTGTTTTCTCCAAGTATAGACAACGGCAGTACCGTGAAAATGATGTTCATGTGGGAACAGCTGTGACTAAGCTTTTAACTTGATCTTTACTTCCAACCAAAACAGAATTTCTCCTTACAATTTCAAAACAACCTCAAGCTGACAAGTGATGAGAGGAGAGAAAAATATCAGTTCATGGATTATGTGTTGATCCAATACCAAATTCTCCAAATTAACATCATAAGAATTGCATAACAGACACTAAAGAGAATCGCATAGCTTAAGGTTAACACGCGCTCTGATTGGTCAATACGTCAACCGGAAGAGAGGGTATTTAGCGTGGAATCGCACTAATGCATAAAGTGATATCGCTGATGCAAGTCGCGTGCAAAAATTATTGTTACGAACGTAAAAACGCAAATGCAACTAGTGCTACGAAAATATGAACAAATATGAACAAATTTATAGAAAACGAATGTCTTCCAAATTTTGAATTCAAATTCAAGTTTTTATAAAATTGGAGGAAACCACTCACACTCAAAAGTACGAGAAAATGCATAGAAAAAAAATCAAAATGCCAAAGACAAGGGAAGAAAGCCAAACAACAGATCTTTCTGAGGAAAACCTGACAAACGTTGCGAAAGAAAACCAAGCAGGTATCAATGCCCAAAAAGGTCAAGCATCTTTTCCGGAAATCCAAACCATTGTAGCCTATACACTCAGATGACGAACTAGCCTCTTTTAGAAACAACATGGTTTCAAAAAACACTAAAAGAAGTACAAGTACATCCATACGCCGTTTGCAGTCTTGGTTCAAGGAAAAACATAGCAAACAAATTAATCTTGATGCAATTTCGAAGGAAGATGCACTGCAGCTCCTCATGCACTTTTTTCTAGAAATAAGGCAGACAACAAAAGAAAACAAAGGCAAAGAATATGAACCAGGAACATTACAAACTTACTGCAATGGTTTACGAAAGTACTTTCTGGAGTGTCCATGTCCACCTGCAGTGGATAACTTCGACCTCTAAATATCTTCAGCCATTGAGTTTGAAGAAGTTTCAATGATGCTATCCATGAAGAAAAAAGATTTGAAGCAAAAGGGTCTTGGTAACAAACCAAATGCCGCTCAACCAGTTGAAACAGAAGATGTTGAAAAGTTGTGGTCGTCAGGTGCAATCAGCCTTTAAAATCCCCGCTCTCTTCTCCATCTGGTCTGGTGGAACAATATCACACACCTCGGAATGAGGGGATTTAAAGAACAACATGATTGTCAACTAAGTGATTTCACCGTGACAGAGCAGTACATCGAATACAAAGAGCGACAAACCAAGAACCGCCAGGGAGACGAACCGACTGCGNCTCTATGCGCTAGATATTGACACCTGACTTTGAAAGGGTTTCCATTGTTTGCGCACTGGCGTGGTGCACAAAAATACAAAACATCTGGTTTCGCCCAGTGATTTGCTGGCTTTAGCTATGCGATTCAAGAAAAATTCACGAGGTACAATTAAATTTTCGATGGTTCAAACGTGAGCAACTTAACTTGCTTTCCATTCCCTTAATGATGACAGTTCTGATGGTTGACTTTTAAATGGCTTTCTTTAGGGCGTGCGTATGGGATAAAAACAAACAATGATATTGCCGTTTTAATTTCTTGTTTTCTTTTTTTTTATTCAGTTATGCAATTCAAGAAAAATTCACTGCCTGACGAGTGAATTCCACGTTAAATTTCACTTGAAAAACCAATATCGCACGATTTGCTTTGCGATTCGTGCGATATCAGTTTTTCAAGTGAAATTTAATGTGGAATTCACTTGTCAGGCAGTGAATTTTTCTATAGAATAGCCTACAGTGGAAGGAACCCCGATATAACGATATGCTAAAAGAACAGTGGAATTAGATCGTTATATCAAGACAGGGTTCTGTCCCATACATTTTACTGTAACTTTTGCTGGGACATAGCATATTTATTGTGGTACCAGGAATGTCGTCATATCGAGGATCATTGTATCGGGGTTCCACTGTAATGTGAGATCTTAGAAGTGAAAAGGTTGACTCCTATGAGTGATCGACTGTGAAAAAGTTGTCAATCAAGGGATTATTAATTGATCAAATATCAAATTCTCTGCACTAACATCACGAGAATAATGTATGGCAGACAGTTAGGAAAATTATGAATGAGATCTCGGGAGTGAAAAGGTTATTTTTTATTATTAGTAATTGCAAGAGGTTCTATGGGTTGGTAATAAAATCAGTATTAATACTGGTCATGTAGGCCTACCATAGGACTGGTACTTTAACAGTAGCCATGCAATTAGCAAACTCTTGGGCTGCCCAACTTGAATAATAAATAGAATTGGTAGCAGGGTTTGAGCCAGGCTGCGCCATTACACCAATCCCGCACTGCAATTGAAATTGTACCTTAAAAAAATGGCCAAAGGGACAGTTTGTCCCCTTCAAAATTTAGGGGAAAAGGTCAAAAGGAAGCACACACGAAGAGACTTAGTTCATTACAGAAATTTAACCACATCTAAAACAGAACGTGGAAAGTATATTTTATCGCACGTTTTAAAAAGTTCATTCTAAAGTCACGTTTCAGTCTCACTCTACTGAACACGTGTGTCTCATGCTCAACCAAGTGTGGTGAAGTATTTACACTGATTTGGTGTGTAACATGTCACATCGAAAATGTGTTCGAACTTTAGAAAGCTTTTTTGCTCCAAATCAAAGTCAGAGTGAATCTGCGAAAAATGGTACGGAAAAAGAACAGGAAGAAACAGATGAGGATTGAAGGAAACTGAAAAAATCACGAACTTTCCAGAAAACTTGGTTGCGAGATCACATGTACATGGTTGCGCTATGAAAAGGAGGCGATGTTCTGCTATTTTTGTCGGAAATCTAAGAAGACAAACCCCTTTGCATCAGCAGAAAGGTGTACAAATTTTAGAACCTCAACTCTGCAAAGACATAAAGACTGTAATGTCAGTAAAGTCTGTTTTTACAAGCCTAGTGGCCCATCAGGCCGGTGCTTAACTCTGGTTTCTGTAGCATCAAGCGACTCCATCGCAGGGTTACCCCCAAGCATTAAATTTGCCAGTACCCATTTAAGCACCTGGGTGACGAGAGGCACTGTGAGAGTAAAGTGTCTTGCCTAAGAACACAACACAATGTCCCCGGCCGGGGCTCGAACCCGGACCACTCGATCCGGAGTCAAGCACGCCAACCATGAGGCCACCCCGCCTCCACACAAAGACTGTAAAGGACATAAGGATAATGTTAGTGAAGAAGCTGTGAGGGATATGTTTAGCAACACACAGCGCCGTGCTTTTAGAGCAGAATCGCAAGCCATCCTAACAGCAATGAGAGCCGTCTACTGGCTGGCCAAGAAGGATATAGCAACAGTCAAGTACAACTCTGCTCAATTTTCTGGATGAAGTTGGCCTCGAAAGTGTTAAGAATCTTCGAGTAGGAGAAAATGCTACCTATCGATCTCATCAAAGTGCTTAAGGTATACAAGATGCTATTGCTACTCTTCTGAAGTCTAACATTGACAAACTAGTAGAAGCCAGCCCATTCTTTTCTCTGTTAATCGATGAATCAACAGACACTAGTAATCATGAAAATCTTGTTGTTTATGTTAAGTTATTGAATGAATTTAAACCAGAACTGCACTTTTTGGAAAACATCAATGTTCGGAATGGAAAGGCCGAAACTATTACCACGTATACTGCTGTTAATTATAACTTGGTTATGGAAAGGAGAAACTTGCACAAGGACAAAATTACAGGATTCGGCAGCGATGGAGTGAGTGTCATGACAGGAAAAAACAACGGAGTTTCAAATTGAATGAAGGACAATAGTCCATTTCTTGTGTCTATCCACTGCATGGCTCACAGGCTTGCACTTTGCCCAAGCCAAATGGCTAATGGTATTCCTTATTTGGCAAAATTCAAAGAGATCCTTACTGCTCTGTACCGCTATTTTGACAAGTCTGCCCTCCGGTCACAGTCACTGGCAGAATTTCAGAAGATCTTTGAACATCCTCAGCTAAAAATCAAGGAAGTGTTTGATATCAGGTGGTTTTCATTCTACGGTGCTCTGGAGACAATGTACCGCACTTGGCCATCTCTTGTGGCCTACATGGAATCCCGACCCAACAGTGATGATAAAGCGCGTGGATTCACAAAAAGAGCCTGAAGGAGTTCAATTTCGTTGCCGCCCTCTGCATGATGATGGATGTGATTCCTATTCTCACATTCATGAGCCTTAATTGCTTTGCAAAAGGAACATGCAGAGCTTGCGTCAGTTCAGGCACTGGTGAAATCAACTATAACTCAAATAACAGCTCTTTAAAGAGTAACAACGGCAAATTCTTGTCCGAGATTTTGCCATCACAAGATGATGTTTCAGAAGTTAAATGGAGAGAGAACACAATTAAAGTGACTGCCCATGAAGTTCAACAATTTGAATCAATGAAAATGAAATTCCTTGACAATGTCTTACTAAGTCTTGAAAAGAGATTCCCCATAGATTCCACAAATGTAGTTAATGCATTTGGGATTCTTAGTCTCCGCAATGTGCGTTTTCAAAATGAAAATCCGTCAACCTACAGAAAGGAAGAGCTGGAAACGTTGCTTTGGATCTGCAAAGAAAACGCAAGGTGGTAAAGATGTACCAGCAGTTGTGGATGCCAAAAAATGCACAATTGAATGGAACTTAAATGTTAAAGAGCTGGTTGTTAGAGAGCATTACCCCGTGGGCCACATTGCTGAACTGTGGAAAATGCTCGCTACCCATCATAGCAATGAAGTCCAAAATTTAATTTAGCTTTGTCAAGTTGCACTTGTATTGCCTACTAATACGGCTGGCTGTGAAAGAGGTTTTAGCGCACAGAGTCAAATTAAGAATGCTTTGAGAAACAGACTGAAAGCTGAGAGGCTGGATGTACTTATGACCATTGACACTGAGGGGCCACCTTCCAAGGACTTTGACTTTTCTACAGCCCTTGATGTTTGGACTAGAACCAACAAAAGAATTAGTACATGTACGTCTACCAGTAAAGAAAGCGATTGAAGTTTACAAGGGGATGCCGGGATGAGATTCTGCTGTGAAATGTTTTGAAGTATAAAGCATAGTCATCAATCCTCTGTTTAAATATGCCAAAAAAAAGTCTTCACAGCTATAACTTAACTTTTCTAGTTTGTATCAAGGATCAGGTGAAAAAAAAAATGTTTTGTTGGCTTGCCTGTATGAATGTAAAAAAAGTGTTGAATAAAAATTAATTTGTCTGTCCCCCTAAAAATAAAAATGTCCCCCAAAATTTTAGCCAAGGGGACAAATTGTCCCCCAGTCATCAAATGCTAGCTCAAACCCTGCAGTAGTATTGGTTTGCTGGCAGAATTTATGCATTTTCCAGTAGAAGTCTACAATGTTCTTAGTTCTTCTACTGGTGACTTTTTTTCTGACATTTAACTGAACACTTCTCATCTTTCTTTCAATGTGGCATTGAGCTAACAGTAAGTTAATTTTTTGCAGATATCCCTCATTTCTTGCTGATGCACAACTAGGCAATGTGCTGGGTGTCACACTCATCGTTTTAGCCGGCATGGTCGTGTTCGTGGTGACAAACTCTGCATTCAAGAGGGTCAACGCTGGTGAAGAACATGTGTCCTTGATGAATGAGAAATAATTTAATTTAATTTTTATTTTAGAGTGGAGTCTTGCTATCTTGAATCATCTGTATGATGCATGAGCCGAGTTAGGGATTAAAAAGTGATGAAAGCATAACTTCTTCTCACAATTTCAACACATTAGCCAGGCAACTAAAAGCAATAAGAATAAATAAATAGATCAGCTTAAGGCTGTTCACTTGTTACATAACTAAAGTTTCTGACTTTGTTTACAAAGAGATGCATGTATAGCAGTCAGAAGGGATAATTCATAATCATGATCAGATAATGGAAGACTTGAGTTCACACATGAAATGTGGCCTAGCTTCTGTGTGTAATGAGAAAAAGTTGTAGATACTGGTATTTAGGGCTTCAGATATTTAGACTCCACTGGTGTGAATTAAAATGTTTACTTGAAGGACTGTTTCAGAGTAGAAAGGAGACTGGAGAACATTTTCATTTTATTTCTGTGCTGAGTTTCAGATATAATCAGTAAACTACTCATAAAAGTAAAGTGCAAACAGAATATTCAGTGAGGTGGTAAATCTTGAGCTCAACAATGAGACAATGCATGCCGAAACATGTCTTTCAAAGTTGTATATTTCTTACAATATCTATCAGACTTGCTGTTATTGCGACCTAATGAGACATAAGCGCTTTTTTTTTTTCGTCTTGTCACAAGCATGGGATAAGAGTCCCTTGAAGGGAACTTCACACCTTTAGGTTATATATCCTCAACCCAAATTACTTCAGACATTGTCAGTGATACCCT